GGTCAGGGAGAGGTAGTGATTTATTAAACAGACCTTTGAAATGCGCCTGAGCACACTCGGGATGGAATGAGCGTGGGAGGGGTTGCTGCGGGAGGGGATGGGTGTGATGGTGTTCAGGGGTCTCTGGCCAGGTGTGGGGTCCTAGGATCTGGTCAGAGGCTGACTCAGATCAGATCCCCTCTGTCCCACCACCCCAGCTGCTGGTGTTAATCTGCCCTGGAGTGAGCTGCCCAGGGCCGTTCCAGATGTGAAAATGCAGAGGTGGAATTGCACGGGCTTGAGGAGGTAACAAGTCATGCCCTGTTCCTACAAGGCCGTGGGTGCCATTTCAACATGGTTATTATCTTGTTTCAGCTGCCAAGAAATACCAGCTGCTGATGGTGAAATAACTCCAAAGAATTTCCTCAGGACAGTTTCTCACCCCCACGGACATCAGGAAGAATTTTCTCTGTGTGCGAGGGATATCCTGCCTTCTGCCATCCCTGAGGCACCCCTTACTGACCCGGTCACATTCTTTGGACATCACTCGCTTGACCACATTGCATGGCTTCCAGGCCACCTGCCCTGAAAGTGAGCTGGAGCCATGGTGGTAGGGGACTTATTGAGGATGCACGCCCAGGGAGGTGAGGTAAGGGCAGTTCAGACTTAAATCCAACCATTCGGTGAGATACACAGCTCTAGGTCCTGTGCAGGCCATGGGTGGGTAGAGTCAAGAAGACTGCCCTGACCATGCGGGTTTGTTCCTTAAGGGGTACAAGAAACCCCCAGACCTAGAACAGCCTCCTAAGGTGGAGGGGGAGGTGGAGGCAGCCATATTGGTTTTGTGTGTGAGGACCAAACAAATCAAAGTCTGGTGGCAACTGTAACGGTGGGACCAGGAAAGGGATTTCCTTACACTATCCACAACCCCATTCCCTGCACCCCCTCTTTTCCAGTCCCATGGTGAACACAGTCATTTCACAAAAAGTGAGACAGTGTGAATTTAGTGAGCATTTGTGTACCAGAAATTACTTTCAGCATCTGCATACTGTTTTCCTAACTTCACCCATCCTGTGAGGTGGACGGCAGCTGTATGGTCTCTGTGGCACAGATGGGTAAACTAGGCTAGAGGAGTGTGCCGTTTGCCCCCTATCCCCCGACAAGACACGCAGCCTGCCATTCAGTCTCTTGGTTAACAACTGGTGTGTGCCTTTTCTCTCCTACATCTTCAGTTGGACTCCGGGTTATTTCCTCACTAAACCCTATGACCTCCACTGCTGTCCTAGAACTGTCACCTTTCAAGGTTTCAAAATATAATTGTCCCTTTGTCCTGCGGAAGGGAGGCTCCTGGAAGTAAGGATTTGGGGACTCAGATTCCTAGCTCAGTACGGCCTGGGGTGTGTGCTTGAAAAATGAAGTGACTTAGCCCAGGTGGTGGTGGTGCACACTTTTAATCCCGGCACCTGGGAGGCAAAGGCAGGCGGATCTCTGTGAGTTCGAGGCCATATTGGTCTGCAGAGCGAGTTCTAGGACAGCCTGGACTGTTACACAGAGAAACCCTGTCTCTGAAAAAAAAACTGGAATGATTCAGAATTGTACCAACTCAGCTGCTACCTGGTCATCTAACTTCTTTATCCCTGGAAGCTTTTTCTAGAACATCTAGGATCAGAGTAAACCTAAGGGAAATAAACTCACAGAAGAGACTGAGTTGCCACCAAGGGTGTTTTTAAACATCCCTGGAAACTCGCAAATGCTCTCTTCTTCCTTGATGTTTCTTCCTTTTGGTGTTTTTCGGGAATATGGAGGAGTTTCTTCCTTGTGAGCTGTTGCTATTTTCTTGAGATAGGATCTGCTTACCGGGCCCCAGCTGGCTTTGCACCCTCCAGCTACCTGCTTCAGCTCCCTGAGTGTGTACTGCCACACTCTTCCCTGTTCACGATTTTGGTCTCCACTCCTGTTTGTGAGTGAGTGTGTCTGGCCGACAGAGAGCTTGCCTTTTGGATGAAGTCCCTTGATTACAGAGCCATTTCAAGGCCAAAGTCTCTCAGGAGCTCCTGGTGGGTCGAGAAGGACTCTGCACTCCCAGTCCTCCATCCTGGTCCCTTTCCTTGCATGCTAGGGAGCCGAGCCAGGCACTGATTGCCCCATGTCTCTGGTGAATGTTCTGCAATGCTGTGTGGGAGCTTGGCCAAGTCCAAGACTGCCAGCTGTTTCTTTCACCTGAAGCTGGAGAACTTCCAGAATGTTCTTCATCTGTCCCCCATATTTTTCTGACTCCCACTTGAGGACAATAGCTTTGGGTTTGGGGTTCTCTACAGATCCTTAGGTTTTTTGTTTTGTTTTGTTTTGTTTTACACAATCACACCTTAGCTTCAGACACAATCCAGTTCATTACAGTGCCCAGCTGTCTTTTTTTTTTTTTTTTTGGTTTTTCGAGACAGGGTTTCTCTGTAGCTTTGGTGCCGATCCCGGAACTAGCTCTTGTAGATCAGGCTGGCCTCGAACTCACAGAGATCCGCCTGCCTCTGCCTCCCGAGTGCTGGGATTAAAGGCGTGCGCCACCACCGCCCGGCCAGTGCCCAGCTGTCTTAACTGAGAAGTCACGGGACTAGACCTCCCCTTAGTTGTCTCCAAAAGGCTTTCACAGCCCTGGGAGTCTTTGCGAAGACACGTGCAGAAGTGCTGTGGGGAATGGCCCTCCACCTTGAGTGTGTGGGAACCGGTGTGCAGAATAAAATGGCTCACGACAGGCTAGGGAAGTGCTGCTTCCACACACCAGTGGGCGCTGGGTATTGCTCAGTGGTGGAGGGGGATGAGTAGTGAGTGCAAAGCCCTGGGTTCCATTCCCAGCTAAATGGTTTTCCAGAAAAACAGCCCAGCTGAGGAGTCTCCAATATGTCCATCCAAACTGTTGTGCCTGAAGGAAAATTCCAGGCAGTCATTTCATTCATTCCGGTGTGGTCACTGGAATAATCATTAAAAGAGAATAATTGCCCATACTACCCCCTAAGCAACTCTTCTCATGCAGGTGTGATGACTCTAATGGCGACAGGGGTCACCTTCACTGGCCCTAGTAGCTGCTCTGGACTCCTCTTCTCCCCCAGGGGACCGTACAATCAGGCAAAGCTGGTGACAGGATGCTGCTGCAGTCCCCACTCCAATGTCCTTCTCAAGGACATGCCAAGTGTCCAGCATGACTCTCTTGTCACGCGGTGAACTCAGAGGGGAGGGGAGTACAGGGAAGGCTTTGGCTGTCAGCAGCAGAATGGGGTGCCCCCCACTCTGGCTGTCAGGGCATGCAGGAGGCTGGGGGCGCTTCAGCAGGCAGTGGCCGACTTCCTCGAGCGAACATTTGGTGTCTGGGCTGCCAGAGGAGGAGGAAGCAGCTGGGTGCCGCCCTTGCCCAGCAAATTATTCCTTCCCGATGGCGGTCAGAGCCAGGGAGGGTTGAAAATTGGTTGTGGTGTCTTGAGATATACGCCACACGTCACAAACATGGTCCCGTGTGCATGTGTGGCACAGTGTGTGTGTGTGTGTGTGTGTGTGTGTGTGTGTGTGGAGGTCAGAGGACAGCTTCCGGGAGTCAGCTCTCTCCACCATGTGTTCCTGGCAATCTAACTCAGGTCAGCGGGCTTGGTGGTCACACCTTTGTCCACTGAGCCATCTCACGGCCTTACAAACAGTTTCCTTTTGAGAGTAAGTGGCGTTGAGTCAATCTATGGAATAGTAGAAACATCATCCCTGCCTAATCCTATCCCCCCCAACAAAGAGTTTTCAACACCCCAGAAAGAAGCCCCCATATCTATGAGTAGTCTGTCCCCTCCAGTCCCTTAGCCTCTGTCTGCCACCATGACCTCCATTCTGGCTCTGAGGCTGGACAGGCAAGTAGATCCCTAATATGAAGTCTTTGGTGACTGCTTCTGCATGGATGGTGTTCTTTGCTGGCCTATCTGAGGGGTGCACCGCGTTTCCTTGCTCTCCACGGGTGACTAAGATCTTTTTGTGGAGAGAATGCTCCTGTGTCTTCTGTCACCAGAAGCCAGACACCTGCATCGTTTCCATTTTTGGCTTATGAACATCGCCGCCATTGGCATCTGTGTGGCTGTTTTCTGGGGGCTTATTTTCAGGGCTCCCTGTTATGCCTCTGGAAGAGGAGCTGCTGGACCATATGGTGACTCTGTTTCAACTCAGAGTGACTTCCAGCCATCTTGCATTCTCCCTGGCAGTGTGTGAGGGGAACCATTTCTCTGCAACATTCGTTCCTACCTCTCTGTGACTGTAGCCAACTTAGCCAGAGTGACATGCAGGGCACAAGACACAGATGCAATCCTCAGGCAAGACACTATGAGTCGAGATGGAGGACAATTAGCTGTGGGGATGCTCTAGGTACTGGTCCCTAGGAAGCTTGGTTATGTGTCCCGTTGGCTACCAGTTAGGGAAGCTCTTCAGGGTCCCTGAGGGACTAACTGCTGGTCTGTAGTCCCAGAACTCAGTGCCAAGCTGACATTAGTAGACACTCATAACTGAATGTTGAGTGATTAATTGACAGAGTCAGTCACTGAGGACCCACGGAGGATGGATGGTTTAGGAGTCAGGCCACCACTGTGTGTTATCCACGAGAAGGCTGGATCTATGTTTCTTTGTGGGTCTGGAAAGGTGTGAGGATTTTTTTTTATTGGACAGAAGTAGAGAGGAGAATGGGAAGGGCCACCCTTGTGGTGATGTTTTGTTTGTGCTTTAACAAATAAAGCTTGCCTGAAGATCAGAGTGTGGAGCTAGCCACACTAGTTAGCCATAGAAGCCAGGCAGTGGTGGCACATCCTTTAATTCCAGAACTCAGGAGACAGAGGCAGATGTGTCCCTGGGAGTTCAATGCCACCCTGGGCTACCCGAGATTGCATCAGCCTAAGAAAGTATCAGAGCCAAGCGGTGGTGACTCACACCTTTAATCTCAGCACTAGGGAGGTGGAGATGGGAAAGGATAGGCTGGGCAGAGAAAGGAATATCAGGTGGGAGGAGACGGGAGCTCAGGATGCAGTCTGAGGTTTCCTAGAAAGGACATCCAGTCTGAGGACTTGTAGAGACAGGATACCCCATTCGGTCTGAGGATTTCGTAGCGGTAAGGATTTCGTGGCTGGCTGCTCTGCTTCTCTGATTTTTCAGCTTTCACTCCCTAATATCTGACTTCGGGTTTTTATTATTAAAACCAATTAGAAATCGCAGCACACACCCTTCCTGTGGAGACTGCAGGCTATGAATGGTGAGGGAAGCAGCCCCGGGATGGCGACCAGCAGAGGCTCCCACAGCCCCAGAGTTGCTCACCTGCAGCACTTGCTGCGTCATGTCTGACTTTCAGTTTCAGGTCCTTTCCTGCTTACTCTCTTCTCTCTGCCGACACACCAAGATGGTCCTGGGTGGGGGCGGGGGCGGGGGCGGAGGCATGAAAGAATGTAACCAATGCAAGTGAGCCTTCAGCAGTAGAGGCAGGGGAGGTGCCAGGCATGAGACACCCCCTGCTAACATTCTGCCCTGAGGTGAGAAAGAGTCCAGCAGAGTAAGGACAATGCTTCCAGAATGCTGGCTTCTGCCCAGCGCTTTGTATTATGTATCATTTGGCAACCACTGCCTCCCTGGTGTTCTGATACTAGAGATACAGAGCATGAAGTACTTTCTGTTGATCTTCCCAGAGACCCTTGCGGCTAGGAGCGGTCATGTGATCTAGTTCTGGCCAATGAGATGTAAGGAGCGGTATACTGGGGATTCCCTTTTAACAGGACAGGTCTGGGAATACAATTCCTTCAAGTGCCGTGTTCTGTGATTTCAGAACCACCCTACATCTGCAGAAGGCCAAATCCATGGCAGGCCACTGAGATACATCCAGAAATGCCTGGGTCTGATGTACCGCTGTTTGAGAAAAACTCACCCAGATCCCTTGGTTTGGTTCACAGTAAGGGGGCGTTCCTATTTGCCACTGGCATTGATGCCCTCCCAATTAGTCCTAATGGTTGCCCTGGAGAGCTGCTTCTATTTCTGCGCAGAAAGGCTAAGGTAGTTCGAAGTCACACCGCTAGAAATGGTTAGGTAGGTTTAGAACTTAACTAAAATCCATCCATCTCTCAACATTCCCGTGGCTCCTAACTGGTCGCACAGCTGGCTAGACGGAGCTTTTGACGGGAAGAGAAAACATCAGAGCCTCTCTAGTCTGAAAATCGTGCCTTCAGATCTTTCAGGCTGCTGGGCTGCTGTTCCTTCCCACAAGGCATCAGTGTTGGAGTACAGGTTGGCTGGCAGGAAGGGACAAGGGACTTGCAATTGAAAGCCTGGTCTTGGGAAGCAGCTCTGCCCTGCTCTGGGCTCATGGCCTCAAGCAGGTAGCCGAACCTTAGTGGACTCTTGACTACTCTTCACTTACAAAATGTTGCAGAACTCATTGGACAGAAAAGCCATCTCAAACTGTCTCGCATAGGGAACGGAATTTGCTGGCTTTTAGCGACTAAAACTTCCACGGGTGGATCTGGCTTCTGGAAGACAGCATAGGTATTCTCCTGCTTCTCATTCCATGGCCTGGCTCACCTTGCTTTCTTCAAGCAGCCCATGCTGATGTGGTCCTGCCTCCAGGCTTTGTACTGGAAGTCCACACAGCAGTTACAGTGAATGCCCACAGCTCTGAAGGGCTTGTTTTGGTCACATGACCTCTCCCCAAGCTGGAGGCCTAGCCAATCCCTTCATGTCTCCTCTCAAAGTAAGAATGGGGTGGAGTTTACACGGAACAGAATTGGTCCACTGACCAGAAGTGGAGAATGAATACTGGGTAGGAAAAAAACATGTATGAGACACCCCCTCTGTCACCTCAGGGCCTTCTGTGTAAGTGTCATGTGATGGAGAAAGGTCACTGGCTAAGTAATAAAGAAATTGCTTGGCCTCATAGGTTAAAACATAGGTGGGAGGAGTAAACAGAACAGAATGCTGGGAGAAAGAGGAAGTGAGCTCAGAGACACCATGCTCCCTTCTCCCAGGGAAGACACGATAGCTCTGCTCTCTGAGGCAGACACAATCAAGCTCCGGCCCAGGATGGACGTAGGCTAGAATCTTCCCAGTAAGCGCACCTCGGTGCTACACACTTTATTAGAAATGGGCTAGTCCAGGTGCGAGAGTTAGCAGAGAAGAGGCTAGATATAATGGGCCAAGCAGTGTTTAAAAGAATACAGTTTGTGTGTTGTTATTTCTGGTGTAAAGCTAGTTGTGCAGGAGCCGGGCAGGACGAAAAGCAGGCCTGCAGCTCCTACTACAGCCATGCCCTGTACATCAGGTAGACCATTACCTCATATGAACAGGCCTCTTCCCAAAACTTGGCACTGCCCTCTCGGAGGCCCCGGGGTCTGTCACTTGTTTCAGTGACACCCTGCAGGAGCAGGCCTGTCTGGACCATGAAGCTCCTATCCATCACCCAGCCTTTGTCCCAACCTGAAGATTACAGTGTGGCCCCGAGACGAGACGCTCTAATCCCCATTACTCATTCATCAACAGGCAATGAGAACCCACACCGGATCGAACGCTGCCAGGGAAGCTACAGAGGCCTCCTCCACCACTGTGAAGCTGGGCTTAACTCGGGCACAATAGGTGTGTAATTTAAGGTTTTGTTGAGCCAAAATCCAATCACATACTTGAATGGTGGATCACAGAGCCTTGCCGGCTAAGAGAATGAGATAATTCCACCTCCCACAAGCGCCGGGACATGGCTTTGACTTGACAACATGTGTGTGACCAACCTCACACTGCCGCAGTCTCGCTCTTTAGTTTAATGCATTGCCATCTCCCTCCTCTCTCTCCTCCCTCCCATCCTCCAATCCTCCGAGGCTCTCAGGGGTGGAAGGGGAAGTGGTGGAGTTTGAGCCAAAGTACATAGGTAGCAGGAGGAGCTTCCTAAACGGGAGCAATCACTTCCTAAACCGGGGTGATTCAGCCGGTTCTTTGCCCTGTGGGCTTCCTTGGTGGCCCAAACTGTAGTTTATTGTCAAAGCTTGTTGCCTCTTGGCATCCACTGGGAAGACAGTGGCTGCGCCCTCCCCTAGCATGGCGTAGACACATTGGAGAGGGCCACCGATTTTGAGTTTGTGTCAAACACCTACAAGGGAGAGGAGAGTTGGCTTCTAGGAACAGGGTTATTCTAAGAACCTTGCTTTCTCAGCTCCTGGGGGTGGCTTAGAATGGGAAAAGATGGCAGGGAGGAGATGGCAGCCACACTGGGAACTACTCCCCTTAGTCACTCAGTGGTTTTTTTTTTATATATATATTTCAGAGTATTTTTTTTTATTATTTTTATCTTGAGAAACACTGTTCAGAGTGTGGTGGCGCAGGATTTGAAAGAGAAATATAGATCTTGTTTGGGATTCCCATTGAGGGAATTTATAGCGATTCCCATAATTCTAGTCTGCACTCTAAAGTGTTCATCAATTTCACGACCCCACTCATGCTTACTCAGCCAACAAACCCTTGCAGGATGGCTGTTGCCCAAAGCCAGGCACTCCTCTTGGCATTGGTAGCCTGGTGACGAAAGGCCTTCGCAAGCCTGGTGGGTAGTTAGGTCTGGCAGAGGAAGCTGTGTTAGGAACGCGGCGCTGTAGATAGTGAACTTGTGAGGTGGATGGATGGGAAGAGTACTCAGAAAGCACCCGAAGGAAGAGACGCCCGCTGACTCCTTCCACGCTGGTGACATCACGAAATGGCGTGGAAGAGTGACGAGACAGTGCTTCTGTATTCTGGATACTAGGGAGTCCCTCTGTATGCTACTGGCACGTGGGTGCAGGGGTTGTTGCCCTTACGAGAATGCTGCAACCACATTTTGGACCCTGTTTTCATTAGATCTCCTTCCTTGGCAAGGAAGTGGCCCTAGGTTCTAACAGGAGAATCCTGGGCTAGCAGCTTTTACAGGCAGCTTGAAGTGGATATGACCCTCATCACTTCTGGGGCTTTGGCTCATTAGGAGGTTGATTTGTAGCTCCTGTTAACTGAGCCTTCACTGAGCTCTGGAAGCTTCCCAAGTGCTTTATGTCATCGCTTTTCATCTCTACCAAGACCTGCTCTAAGGAAATGAAGGCTTCCTGTGGTTAAGTGTCTTGTTTCAGGTCCCATAAGGCCCTGGCAATGCCCCTAGAGCGACATGCGTACCATTATCACTCTGACAAGTACCTGTCAGGAGGGTGTTGCTATGGGCCCTTGCTCTGCCAGTGCCGAGGATCACTTCCTTTCCTACTTTCTGCAGAGAGCGTTCCTCTTATTTCAAGATGTTATGATTTCCTCTCTTGGAATTCTTTCAGTGAGCTCTGGCTAAATGTGAACATTTGTTTATTTGCGTTAGAATCCTGATCCCGAAGATTGGTGACTTTTTTTCATTTCTGGAATGTTCTTGACCATCTTCATTAAGTATTACTTTCTCCCTAATTTCTTGTTCTCTCTCTCTGGAACTCAGATCAGACGTGTGTCAGGGGTCTCCCCTGTACCCCCATTTGAGGTTTCCGCACCTGTTTCTCACTATGATGTGGTGTAATTTTTCCAACCCTGTTGTTCAGGGCATGGGTTTCCTCTTTGCTGTGTCTAACGCATTCATCCACTTCCTCTTTTGAGTTGAAGGTTTACATAGAGACAGGTACAGAGATCATGGCACACCGCTTGGTGAATACTCCTGTCGTGGATGTATGGGCGAATGCCCCTCTTCTTCCCGTAACCTCCCTTCTCCTCCGAAGCTCCCTCCTGCCTTCTGAGATGATGGATGGCTGTGTCTTTCTACTTTTTTCTGATGTGCATACATGGAATATCACAAGACAGCTGGTCCCTTGAACCTGCAGTTTCTGTATCTGTGGATCCCACATGGGATACACATGATTTTTTTCTCATTAGTCTTTAAATAAGAGTATCCCAATGATCTCACAATAGTTGCATTGTATCAGGTATTCAGAGTAATCTAGAGATGGTTTAAAGGACAAGAGAGAATTGTGTTGTTATACATAAGTGCTATACCGTTTTATCGAAGGGTCCCTGGATAGGGAACCTCCATCTTGATCCTGAGAGGTGACTGGAAACTCTCTTTTGTAAGTGACTGCATTGGCTCACTTAAGTATTTTCAAAATTTATCAATATTATGTGGAGAGCCTACTTCTAGAAGTTTCATTTAGCTTAGCCCCTCGCCCCCACAGCTGGATTATTTATTTATTTAAAGACAGGGTCTTACGACTACGACGTGGCTCTGGCTGGTCTATAGCTGTGTTGACTAGGCTGGCCTCAATCACAGAGATCCACCTGTCTACATTCCAAGAGCTGGGATTAAAGATGAATGCCACTCTGCCTGGCTAGTTGCCCTGTGTGTGTGTGTGTGTGTGTGTGTGTGTGTATTCTCCAATTCCACCAAACACCTGTGGAAGTCTCAGGGGACAACTTTGTTCTCTCCTTTCACCTTTACGTGGACTCTGAGAATTGAACTCGGGTTGCCAGGCTTGTACAACAGGCACCTTTACCTGCTGGGCCATTTCTTGGCCTCATTTTTTTTTTTTTTTTTTAAATTTTTATTTATTTATTTATTAAAGATTTCTGTCTCTTCCCCACCGCCGCCTCCCCTTTCCCTCCCCCTCCCCCTATCAAGTCTCCCTCCCTCATCAGCCCAAAGAGCAATCAGGGTTCCCTGCCCTGTGGGAAGTCCAAGGACCACCCACCTCCATCCCAGGTCTAGTAAGGTGAGCATCCACGAAACTGCCTAGGCTCCTACGAAACCAATAGGTACAGTAGGATCAAAAACCCATTGCCATTGTTCTTGAGGTCTCAGTAATCCTCATTGTCCACTATGTTCAGCGAGACCGGTTTTAACCCGGGCTTTTTGAGACCCAGGCCAGTTGGCCTTGGTGAGTTCCTGATAGAACATCCCCATTGTCTCAGTGTATGGGTGCACCCCTCACGGTCCTGAGTTCCTTGCTTGTGCTCTCTCTCCTTCTGTTTCTGATTTGGACCTTGATATTTCAGTCCGGTGCTCCATTGTGGGTCTCTGTCTCCTTTCATCGCCTGATGAAGGTTAATATTCAGGAGGAAGCCTTGGCCTCATTTAATCCGTTTATTTTTAAAACTATTTGCCTTTTTTTTTTTTTGGAAAGTCAGATCTTACTTCATATCCTAGATTAACTTCTATTCTATCTTGCAATCCTCCTGCCTCAGCCGTCTGAGCGCTTTGATTACATGGGTGTACCACCAATCACCGGTTTGTTGGGTTCTTATTAAAACATGCTAAATATGGGGTTCTGTTCCCAAGTACTTAGATGTCTGCAGACTCCTCGGGTCTTTCTCATGATGGGCTGCATCCTCGTGGTTTTGTGATGTGGGGCAGGCTAAGTCATGTTATCCAGCCTTGCAGTTGCAGGGATTGCTGATGTGGGGTTGCTAGGTGCAGCCCTCCAGGAAAAACTGCATTTGCTTCAGCCAGGCTTACACTGTCACCATCAGGGGACCCCCCATCAGTGGGAGAGTTGGCAGGCATAAGAAATGGCTTCTGACTTCCAGCTGAAGGCAGCCTGTGACTGTGGCCCACAGAAGGGAGAGGTGAGATCCACCACCTCTTTATTGTGGCCGATGGCCTGTTCAGTTTTGTTTTCTACTTTTTCAGGCAACAACATTACTGAAAACCCCCACCCCACCCATCCCAATTTACTTAAAGAGTGTGGGTCATCTTCAGACTTTCTTTGGGGGATCTTAATCTAAGTAGCCACCTTGCCTAAGTCCCGAGCTTTGTCTTCACCTCTGCACATATCAGAGACCTTGAAAACAAAGGCTGAGGCGCACCAGGTGTTAGCAGCTGCCTCTAGGTCAATCCTGTTGAAAACAGACTCATTTGTTTCTGGGCTTGCTTTTCACTCACTTGTCCTGTCAGCTCCCCCAAGCATTAAAATTTTTTATCCAATATTTGTGTGTATGTGACTCTGTGTGTGTGTGTGTGTGTGTGTGTGTGTTATGTGAGTGTGTGAATATGAGTATGTGTGACTTAAACAGCAGGAAGGTTTTTCGCTTTCTCTTAGTATTTATTCCACTTTAATGCTGGCTTGGGTATGTAAGCTCTCGATTGCTGTGAAGTGAGTGTCTCATCTCAATTCTGCCTAATGGAATTTTGAGGAATATCCCATTTCACAGATGGTGAAACTAAGCTCAGAGGGTAGCTGTCCAGATGGTACAAGCTTTGGCAGAATTGAAAATGAATCTGTGTGGTTCCAGAACCCAGGTCTGTAGCAGGTTTTGTTTTGGGCCACCAACTAGCTCTCAAATCATGACTCAGAGACTTAATATTAGTTCTGAATGCTCAGTCTTATGCTTCTTCTACTAGCTCTTAAAATTTTTTAACCTGTTTTTCTTCATTTATGTTTTGCCTTGGAACTTTCTTTACCTTTCGTTTATTCTGTATATCCTACTTTTATGTTTCTTCCATATTTGTCTGTCTGTCTGTCTGGCCCTGGGCATCTTCCTCTCTTTCTCTTTCATTCTCTCCCCTCTCAAGCCTAGATCCTCTTCCTACTTATTCTCTCTGCCTGCCAGCCCTGCCTATCCCTCTACTGCCTAACTATTGGCCATTCAGCTTTTTATTAGCCCAA